GAGAGAGAGAGAGAGAGAGAGAGAGAGAGAGAGAGAGACTTACAGACAGACATACAGACAGACAGACAGAGAAATCAAAGACCAAGACAAAAATAACGATAAACAAAGACAAGTAAGGACATACATCCAGATATCCAGACTGACAGACAGACATTCAGATAGAAGTAGGCCTATATAAAATAATACATTTGTTTTCTACGTCATGTTGACTTTCGAGTGGTCTCCCTTCCACTCCAGTGGCGTCGGTGGTCTAGTGGTTATAAGGCTACAGAACTCGTAATTGTGAAATTGTAGGTTCAGGGGTTCGAGCCTCAGCACGTTCCGACGTTGTGTCCCTGGGAAAGGCACTTTACACGAATTTCCCATTTGGCTCGGCCCATTCGGAGATGGGCGTTAAACTCTGAGGTCTTGCCTCTTAAATAACCTAACTTTGTTGATAGAAATGTTAAACCTATACCATACCATGCCTTCCCCTCCCACAGTGTGGCGCGCGCTCCCAGTTCTGTGTGCCAGGGGCCACGCCAGGTTTTGTCGGCACTTGTTGCCCAGGTCTGGTGTGCGGCGGCATTGGCTTTGGCAGGGGCGTGTGTCTCAATCCGAGGTGACTCTGAGAGTTGACTGATCGAGGTTTCATTTCATTTCACTGTATTGCTTTGATTGGTTCTGCCTTATATTGGGAATGAATAAAGATGTGAATCACTGTGACGTGTCAACGTTTAGAAATTTGTTTGTTGTAAACAACGTATGGTAGATCTAGTTTGTGTAATAAAGAGTGCCCTTTTCGTATTCTACTATTTATAATATGCTATGCATTTGCAAATCTAAAAGAGGGGATACCTTGATGGAAATCAGCGATATAATATTGAGCAGATAGTCGGAATACATTGAACAGCGTGTGCTGTACTGTGACGAGAGATGTTCAGTTCCAACATTGCTAAAACATCGACGGATCACCAATTATATGCTCAACAACAACAACCGCAACAACAACTTAAAACAACAAAAACAACAACAACAACAACAACAACAGCAACAAAATAGAATAGACAAAACATCGGACCCAATATGTCCATTGTGCAGCGAGGAGCCCCACGATTTGGAGCACTGGCTGCAGAGATGCCCCGCCACGGAGGCCCGGCGGTGGCATCTCTTCGGGAGGATTCAGGGAGGTTGGACTGCCTCACCCGCTACCCAAGGGAGGCGGTGGCCCTGGCGAAGAGCACACTCTTCGTGGCTCCGAACATTTCGAACGGATAGGCTCACACACACACACACACACACACACACACACACACACACACACACACACAGCAACAACAACAACAACAACAACAACAACAACAACAACAACAAATTAATTAATTAACTAACTTAATTAATTAATTAATGTATTGTATTGATAAATGAATAAATGAGTGAATAAGTAAAACGGCAGTTTCGGCCTACAAGTTATTCTTGACAACATTATCCTTGGTGCGTTTCCTTGAAGTCTCTGATAAAGTTACAGCAATATAAAACATAATTATCAAACGAACAACACACGGACACAGAGTTATAAATACACAAAACAAACCCATCCCGGCACAGACATCTACACGTACTTTCTAACCCTTCTATGATCATGGAAAGATGCAGTCTCGCCCGTACTGTTAATGTTATGGAGGTACCAAAGTTGTGGTTCGAATGTTTATGTTGCTATGAAACATAAAGTTAATTATGGTTTACAGATTTAGCAGTGGCCTTCTTCTTTTCAACTTGATATCATGAATTTTTAAAAAGAACACGTTATTAATAAATGCACACACCTTTTAAAAAAAAAAACACATTGTAGAACTCGACAATAAAAGTACAGGGTTTGTTTTTTTTAATGGCACATGTTTTTCTAAATATACATTCACCACTATGAAGTAGATCTACCCGGTATCATATTAGATCTAACTAGGTTTGGACTTGGAGAACAATCTGGGATAATGCACCCTACTTTCATTTTCGATTTTGCGTACGTGTTCGCTTCCGGAAGTTTTCTTTCAGACTTTCACTTCTCAATCTCATCTAACTGTTTCAAGCACCAGGCAGGATCCGCTACCGAACTAGATCTATAACTAGATCTACCTCACCCTTTTTCTTCCACAAACCACACTACAGGCTTCTGCTATTTTAGTTTGTATCGTCAACGAAGTCTTTGTGAGAGACTTGGAATTATGGCAGCCAGTCCTATTGTTCAGTACGTCGTCATAAGAAGCGATCTCGTGTCGAAACTGAAATGGCCAACTGGGGCATTGATAGCTCAGGCCTGCCATGCATGCACTGCTGTTACCCATCTTTATTACAAGGATGAAGCCACCCAAGAATACCTTGCTGATCTCGATAGAATGCACAAGATAATTTTGGAGGTGAGTTTATTGTAACTCAGTGGCGGGGCGCCATTGGTGCAAGCGCTCCACCTTACCCTGCCCCCCCCCCCCCCCCCTTTTCCAATAGTTCTAAACCAGTCTAGATCTACATTAGGCCTCGCCCACTAAAATGCACATCCTTGCGATCCGTCACCCGCTGGCTGTGCTAGTGAAGAGACAGACAGCGAGGATGGTTTTTATTCTCGTCGCACCGTTTGCAGTAGCGTCTGCTAGAGCAAGCAAAATCTTTGCATCAAAGTTATTTTTGTCACTGTAGAGAAATCTAGATCTAGGCAACGTTCTTCCCGCACAAGAAGAAAGGTGCATGAAACTGCTCTTCGCAGCCCCAATTTGGTGCAAGCTAAAAATTTGATCCAAGTTTCCGCAAGCCTATCTACAACACTAGTAGAGTCTACTCTACGGTAACTCAGTGAAGAATGGGTATTGAAACTGTTGTCTCCCTCTATTGTGTAGCAAGTCCTGATGCTGCACGAATTAATTAGAAATCTTTATATCTTCTCAGATTGTGAGCATAATGAGTTGTTAGTATTGTTTCACTTTATTGTAGCTTTTAAGCGGTTTCATCTAGAGACAGTTGTAAATATCGATTAATGTGCCTTACGGAATACCCTGCAGATTCTAATTGACTTTCTCTAGAAATCTTAATAGTAGTAGCTACTAAGCCTATTGCCCATTTGCTCACTTTCCAAATATGCACCACCTTGTCTGCAACTCACGCGACGCCACTGTTGTAACTGCACATGAGTTAAATCTTCTTTCTTTTATCGGTGGGAATTCTGTATTTTAAGGCCTTCTATTCTGTAACGAGCGACCACTAGAATCTAGATCTAGATGGAAATAAAAGAGTAGAATAGAAGAGGGTTAGGGGTTGCGTCAGGGTAACGGTGACGTCTCTCCTTTATGCCTTTATTATTGTGTTTGTTGGGGTCGTCGCTTGTTACGGAAATCCTCAAATTTTGTGTGTCACACTCAGAGCAGACTTAGATCTACATGATGGACTTGTTTTATATCATTCCCCAACCTAGAGTTTGCAATTTACAAAACACTTCATGGGAGAAATCTCAAGTCTAAAGGTCTTAAGTATGGGGAATTTAAGAGGAGCTAGATGGAGAGGGGTTTCAGAGGCCCAGCCGGTGAGATTATCAAGGGTCACTTGTCCAGTCTGCATGCAGTGTTCAAAACTTCACACTTCTTCGATAAGGCAGCGGCTATTCAGACTCGAGTCCGAACAGCCTCCAGCGGCTATTCGGACTCAAACTCCAATGCGTGTGCGCAATCACTAGGTATCGCATGTGAAGCTGACAAGCGATTCGACCTTGGCCTTCCTTGATTTCTTCGATCTGGCCAAGGAACTTAAAATTACAACAAATGGACCCTGACCGTGGTGACCCAGCGTGAACTGTGGTCTTTTCTTTACAAAGGATAATGTATAATAGTAGTGCCGGGCAGTGGGCAATGGTATGGGAGGGAATTTTTTTTTTTTAAGGGATGAAGGTGGGGTGGGGGTGGCTGGGGAGAGCAGGAAAAGTAAGAGAAAGAGGAAAAATAAGAGAAAGTGAGAGAGAGGGAAAGGGAAGGGGGGCTGTCTTATATTATACGGACTGATTATGAATTTTATGGTTTGATCCCTTTGTATTTCAGTAGTCGCGAAACGCAGTGTAATAGCCTACCAGTAGTTTAAAGTTCATATAGCAACAGGAGACTATTCAGACTCGAGTCTAGACCTCGCCAGAGACCAAAAAAAAGTTCGGTACAACCGGTGATTGCACACGCGCACTGGAATTTGAGTCCGAATAGCCTCCAGGGGCTGTTCGGACTCAAGTCCGAATAGCCACTTCGCTCTGATAAAGGCATGCCTTGTCAGTCCTACTTATCCATTGCCACCAGTGCATGTATTTCATAGGACCACTCTATGATGTTCTATTGAAAACAGAAATGTTTGAGCATCTCCTTTGTTTCAACCTGGCCTTAGGTGTAATCACAGTCAACCAATATTATATCACCGCCTCCTGTGCATGCAACAAAGATTTGAGGAACTCTTTTCTGGGCTGGCCGTACAATTAGGGCGACAAACTTTGGCCAAACTCTAGCTAGCTATTCATGAAAGTTTTCATGCTGGAGCGCTACTCAATCACCTTCACAAGCACTGGTGAGATTTCGTACCCACACAACCCTGACCATTAATTGTACTGAGCTATTGGCACACATGAGTGGGTTAACATCTAATCTTTCCCCAAAGTGTACCCCCCGTATTCTTTTATTTTCACTACCGTCTCATGCTCAGGCTTTGTAAAGCCCTTTTCTTGTTCATTCTTTTCCATTTTACTCCTCTAATACTTTTTGTTATTAAGATATAAAATAATGTTAATCTTATTTTATAGTATTATTTTGGAATCCTCCTATTTAGGAACAATCGGTTAGGTTTAATCATCTTCGTATATTTGTGCGATAGTGAAGACAAGTGTTTGTTTTATTTTTAAGGTCTATTACTTAGTCAAGTGTAACATTTTTACTATACTTTGAAATGTACAATACTTGAAAAAAAAAACGCTTTGTTTTACGTTAAATTTACAGGGAACCGTGGTATGTACAGAGATATTAATATTAACTAAATCTTTTAAATTACTTTTGGCACATTTTGTTGTTTGTACTTTTGTTAGGCACTCCACTGTTGCTTACCGAAAAGATGAATTTGAAATACACACACAAGGAAAACAGTACTTTTCTCAGTAGGCCTATCTTTATCTTTCTGCTCATGCTAGAAGGATCAGTTTGGCTCTGGCAGACAGGTTCAAAGTGACTAGCCTACGGAATGTTAAAAGTGGGGCTGGCCGCAGCAGAAAAGGTTTGCTATCATTTTATGATGGATTACTGGGTAAAGATAAAATGCTCCTAAAATAAGTAAGTCATAGCATTGACATATATATGTATGTAATAGTTATTGTTTTTACTCTGTTTTATATCCCTATCAATACATTTTAGGTTATTTGTGAATAGGAGACAGGCTGCTTGAACTCATCTCATAAGGGCCAACTAGGACTGTGAGGGATACATACTAACAGAAAGACAGAGATACTTGCTAATTAAAATATATCTTTCAAGTAATTGAATAAATGAGCTCATATCTTTTGTACACAAGGCAAAAAACATGACTACATACTACGCAGACACATCAGCAGGTGTAGATCTAACACATGGCAGAGAGCTGTAATTTAAAAACCGAACTACCTCACCCTTTTTCTTCTTCATTCTGCACAAACCATACTACAGACTTTTTCTTTTTTAGTTTGAATCCTCAACCAAGGTATATCTTCTGTCTTCATGTGACACACACAGCAAGGACTTACGTTTCGGACTTTTCATTTTCTTCCCCACCCAGAGTTTACAATTACAACATATTTTCTGGGAGAAATTTCAAGTCTTAAGGAAATAAAACCTCCCCATTGTGAAAATCAAAAAGTAATTTTGTTTTCCCCTTCTGTTTCTATGTTTCAGGCCAAAGACGAAGAGAGCTTAAGCAAACTGGCAGAAACGTTAACCACGGAGAATATTTCTCACAAACTGTGGGTGGAGCAGCCGGAGAACTTCCCCACATGCCTGGCTGTGAAGCCCTACAGAAAAGAAGAGGTTCAAAAGTTTTTCAAGCCTTTCAAACTTTTCAAGTAGAACAATGCAATTTTTAGAATCGTTCGTTGATACTGTTTGAGTTTGTAGCCATTAACCTAACTTTCTGGCGCTGAATGTTGTTTTAAGATTTGACATAATTCAATAATTCCGACTGATATCAGATAATGTTTGGAATAGGAGTGTGCAAGCTTGTCAATGAAAGGCCACTGTGTATATCCCTCAAGATATGAGACAGCAAGCATTAGGTCCTAAACTGGGAGATCTTTTTTTTTTTTTTCAGTTAGAGACTTTCAACATGTTCATTCAATTTGTGTCTCTGTAATTTTAGCAGTTTCTATCAAGATGTCTCTAAGAAAGTCATATGCTTGGGATTACTTTAAGAAAATGAAAGACGAAAAAAGCACCTCCTGCAACATAATCTGCAAAAGCATTTTAAAATGTTGACAGGCCTTCAACTTCAAGCCTCTTAGAGCATTTGAAGGGAAAACACTCAAATGAAATAGCATTCATTAGCCGGGTGTCAAGTTACCCAGCCCTAGTAAAGGGACGTAACTGACATGTAATGTGTGAAACTTTATATATTGGATTATCTCCCTCGATGTACTTTATAAAATAATTTTTTAAATGTAAGTATATTTTTTTTATGAAAGCGTCTGGAATTGTTGCCTGTGTACTCTTTCTCTCTCTTTCTCTCTTTCTTTCTCTCTTTGTCTCTCTCCCCCCCCCCTCTCTCTCTCTCTTTCTTTCTCTCTTCCTTTCTCCTAGCATCTGCATTTGTCTCGGCCGCGACCTGCGAATAGCGGTGCGATTTTCGGCATTTTTTGGTCTGCAAATCACGGCCGCGAGTTTTGCATAATTTTTCAACAAGACAAAACAGCAAAGCTATTTCATAACATACATGTATTAGACATGTACAGTCGAACCTGCCTTAACGGAAACCTGTGTAAAACGGAAACCTGTCTTAACGGAATATCCCCGCTCCCCCCTTGGTATATTCCTCTTTAATTACCTGTATAAAACGGAAACCTGTCCAACGCGGAAACGGAAAGAAAAATCTGCTCCCTTCCGAGGGTATCACCTCTGTCTAAGACGGAAAATGCTTTGCCCGCTCAACCCTGATTTGAAACAAAACTCGCAAGTTTGGTTCCGACGGCTCTAAACTTAACGCTATGGCCATGCCGCTGGCGAGGAAGGGGAGTAGGGGTGCAATTTGGGGGTTGATGTTACCCTATCATGTGAGCCCTGAGTGATGCAGATGGTCAGTGTAGTGTGGGTGTGAAATCTCAGGACTGCCCGTGAGAGTGCTCGAGTCGCGAGCCACTACGGAAACTTTCTTAGGTAGCCAGAAGCCAGAGGTGTGAAATTAGATTGACCAATGCCAGCCGAGAAAAGATTTCCTCAAATCGTTGTTACATGATGATGGCAGTGAGGAGTGGCATTGGTGGGTGGGGCTAAGGGTGGAAGCAAAGGAGATGTTCAAAGTTCGTGTTTTAATAGGTCAAACAGTGGTCGTATGAAAGGCAAGCACTGGTTGTAATGGGATCAGTAAGACTGACGCAGGTCATTATCAGTATCAGAGAGGATAGCAGCTGAGAGGAGTGAAGTTTTGACCACTGCTGGCCGATCCGACAAGAGATCCTTGATCCCACCGGCTGGGCCTTTGAACCACCCCCCCCCCCAACTTCCATCTCCCCCTAAATTCCCCTGTCTAAGACGGAAAATGTCTAAGACGGAATTTTTTCTGGCTCCCTTGCGATTCCGTCTTACACAGGTTCGACTGTATTTTGATAAGTTTTAAGATGCCCATGCTTATCTATTTTCATGCGGAGAATATATGTACATTACATTACATACTGTTTATATTGCTGTCTGTCTTTCATTTTTCCCTCTTTGTTGTGTTTTAATTTGTTGGTGAGTTAATTTTTTTTTAAATTGTTCTGATGATTTGTTTTTCTTTTTTTGCGTTTATACAGCTTAATGTCATTTAAAAAATATTATGTTTTAGGTTAAAGCGTGTCTCCTCCAAAACCGAATACTGACACTGGCACTCCCCAATTGTGTGTGATTCCATAATATAATTAACATGTGGTATCCTGCAAGCCTACTTTTTCTTGAATTACACACGTTTCGGGTAAAACCAACCAATCTTCAGATTGGTGGACACGCGCCCTAATTAGTTAATTTTTGTGGTCATTTATACGTGCTGTTCTAATTTTGATTTCATTCTATTGTGAAACCTTTATTTTCTACCTGTTTACCCTCTTGGTGACTACAAATGATATTCTGGATGCTCAAAACAGCACAAGAAATTCTGGTGCTATAGATTGTTACCTCTATCAACATATTGCTATATTACGTCGTTATAGAGAGTTCAAAGCTTGAAAATTAATGGCAACTTTTGCCACTTTTTGTGGCAACTTTTGGACAAAAAAATGGCGACAAATGCAGAAGTTAGTATCTCTCTCTTTGTCTCTCTCTCTCTCTTTGTCTCTCTCTCTCTCTTCCTCCCCCCCTCTCTCTCTTTCTCTCTCTCTCTCTCTCTCTCTCTCTCTCTCTCTCTCTCTCTCTCTCTCTCTCTCTCTCTCTCTCTCTCTCTCTCTCTCTTTCTCTTTCTCTCTCTCCCTCTCTATCTTGACTTGTGTGCATGAGTGAGTGCTCTTGTGAGCGTCTTTGTTTCATGAAAACAATATGATGGGGATGCCTTCCCCTAGGTCTGTGATCAATAAACACATTTGTGTGTGTGTTCACACTAGCTACATTTTGCACATGAAAGTGGTGTTTCGCCTGTCATTTGATGTCACACACCTGCCAACTTGTTACCTCAGAATTACAAAGTTCTACCTGACATTTTTGGCCCTTTTGAGTTACCAAAACCATGAAGTCAGAAACCAAAATAATGTTCTATCAGCTCTATCAAAGTCGTAAGATTAATGGGAGCCGTTATCAAGATGTTCAAGGAATTGCATTCGAGAAAGCTTGACATGATGTGAAACTGAAAATGTTGAGAAATGTTTGGCGTCTCATTTTTCTGAACTAGGTCCTGAGCAGATAGAACTTTGTGATTCTGAAATATCGAAGTGTCAGTTTCCACTGCAGGTCTAATAGGACCCTAACAGAAGGAACATTCACATTGTGAACAATCCGACAATCTTGCACGATATGGTGAAAGCAAGGGGAAAAACTCTACAGTAGCTTAAGCTGTCATAAGGGTATTCCCGAGTGCTGTCCCTTGGATTGTTCTTTGGGGAGGGGGAAGGGGGACTCCAGATATCTCATTTTTACTTTTATTTATTGACGACAGCACTGTGAACTGAAAATGGTGAAATGGTACATATGTACAGGTTTAATGCCCCTGTCAACACTGTTAGGTTATTTAAGAAGCGGGACCACAGAGTTAAACGTCTATCTCTGAAAGGACCGAGCCAAGTGGGAAATTCGTGTAGTGTAAAGCACCTTTCCCAAGGACACAACGTCGGACGGAACTGAGGCTCGAACCCCCGAACCCGCAATCTCACGATTACGAATCCGGTAGCCTAACCACTAGACCACCGACGCCACTGACTTCACAGCTCAGTGACGACATACTAATGTACTACAAGTTCGGTCAAAAATTCATGGCGCAACTTACCCTTCTCTTTAACGGGTGAATCAATATCACATATGTACATGACATGTATGTACTTTGCACAGCAGTTTAGATTAATTTGCCTTTACTTAATATTATATTTTCCACAACAATTGAGACTAGAACTAAAAGTCAATATCGACACAGCCCTCCTCCAATGAACCAGTACGTCAGTAGAAGTGTAAACTACTTCTCGTCAATCTGTATTATGGTAAGGGCTTAAATTTAAGTGCGTGGGGTCAAGTTTTTTTTAGGAGGTGGGATCTCGACTCAAATTTTACGGTTCTTTTCAGTACTGTACAGCGGGAGGTTGGAGGGCGCCACTGGTAGGTCCTATACTTATTTACTTTCCCTCTGTTGTTTCTGTCTGTCTATCTTACCTGATCCCAACAATAAGTAACTGTTATGTGTCGATGTGCTTTTTTTTTTACTCAAACTCAGCAAACAAATTCGGTACGGTACAACAAGGGATTTATACAATATAACTATTATAACACGGATAGGTCGAACATAGAAGAATCTAAATCACGTATCCTTCGAACTTTGTCTGTGGCCCCGGGTTTTTGTTGTTGTATTTTTCCTTCTCTTTATCTTTGTAAGCTACCCCTCGAACTATGAATCCCTCCTACTACAGCGGCGGTCCGGTTAAACCAAGTCCAAACAAACCTCATTCTGGAATCTGAACCAGCGTAGTCTGTCAGAGTCAGAGATGTATCCAATTACACGAACGCAATCACTCATGATGCCCCACGACCGTTGGTAACACAAATTATACTGTACATGTATAAAGTGTAAGAAACATTTCTAGACCTATCTGGAGAATTGATCAGAAGTGTCTCGAGGGTAGTTAGAAGGCGCCACTGGTAGAGTTGGTATACGGTCCTACTTCTCCTCTTTCCCTCTATTGTTTCTGTCTATCAGTCTTTATTTATTTTTCTGTTGCACTAAAAGACCGTTTTTGTGTCCATGTGTAGGCCTATTTCTTTACCCAATCAAACTAACAAAACACCAGAAGTTCAAAAGTGTCTCGAGAAGCTGAACCATCGCTGGAACTTAGTGGAAATTGAACTGCTTACACTTACATCAGTATTATTTTTTAAAACGTCTCGACATTGCTTAACTACAGAAATACATGTACATTGAACTGCGAGAGAGAGATGTATATATAAATATATATAT